TGCTCATGCGAAATCAAAGAAAAGTTTAGCTTGTTGTCTTGCTGAAAACCATGCGTTGTAAGTGAAAGCTTCAGACACGTTTTTGGCCGATTGACGAGGCTTCCAGTCTTGTCTTTCCTCCCAGGGCGTGTTTAGAGTTGCAGATGGACCTCATGGACCTGGAGGGAGACAAATGACATTAAAATGTGAGGCTATACTGTAGTTATTCAATGCCCCAGAGTTAATAAGATCTGTTAACGGGCTGATAATCTGCAATCGTTTAGTAGGTCTTAAATTGGATTTAATTTGATCATTCATTTGATTGATTTTCCAAACAAAAATGACATGAAATAGCTACTTCCTGCTTCTCAAATGTGCTGCTCCTGTCTTTTTATGATTATAAATGTAATATTTTTGGCTTTCTGGCTGTTGGTTAAAAAAAGGCAATTTGAAATATAGATTTAATGCAATTTTATATACTTTCTGACCTTTTAACACTAAATATTAAGGAAAAATTAAATCGATATTGAAATTGAAAGCCAGTATGCTTCTTTTCTGCTTCTTTTTCAGCTAGTTACAAAATGGGTTGAACATTTCCAAAAATACTAATTTGAGGTTTAACACAGAGGAGGGAGTTTTGTTGCATATTTATCTAAAACAAATTCTAAAATACATAGCAGATTAGAGTGTCTTAAGAGATTGATATTTATTATTATATTCTTACCTGCTTGAGTTGAGTGCTCTACTGTTATGACTGACTCTTCTTCCCTTGTTTCTTATTGGCACTGTCTCCAGGCTTGGCGGGGGGAGAAGCATCGAGTTTGGTCAGAAGAGAGAAAAACAAAGAAAATAAAGTTAGAGTGGTGCTCCGACTAAACATGAAGTGTGTTAGTGAAGCGCGGTGGAGCTGTACTACTGCGGAGGAATCACAGGAAGCATGCTGCAAGAGAGGCGGGCTTAAGGAGAGAAAAGGATGTTAGTATTACTACTTCAAATCACACGTGCATCAGCACATCTTAAAAGAAAGAACTGTATTCATTTCTCTATGGTAGTTGAAACACGTAATATTAGTATTTCTCAAACCACAGCAACCTGACATGGCTGTTGTTGGACATCAAACACTACTGACACACTGCAGTACAGAGGAAACACACACTGCAGTACAGAAGAAACACACACACTGCAGTACAGAGGAAACACACACACTGCTACTCTATTACACAGCACTCGACACACAGCTCAGTTTAGTACTGAGATCAGACTTCACAACAGGAGCCCGATCCTACAGATATGCACGACTTTTTATGTATTCTATGGTCAAGTTTAATATGATCCATAACCTGTCTTTGATACAATAGTTCCATCCACTATTGTATTGTGAATATTAGGAGTTATTTCAAGGACCATCAGCAGGTGGCACTATTCCTCTGGTCAGATTCCATTCAAACCAATGCAGAAAGCATCAGAGAGCTCAACCTGATGATGTTATACCATAATAAACGCCAGTCGAACCAAGTCAAATGAAAATGATGGTGGAAAACCTAATGGAAACTTAATGTGGCTTTTAAATAGATTGCTAGCTTTTTTAGCAAACTATAAATACCTATCCACTTTTCAAAGAGGTTTCAGAAGTCTATCTGTGGCCTTAGCTCGAAGAACGCGAGCTATGAATGGTTAGCGTTCAGGGTGTAGTCTGAAGTTTAGGTGCCATTATCTTCTCATTTGATAGTGGCTAAAGGGAAGATATCAAAGGAGAAGGTAGCTTAACTAGCCTGTAGCTCAGTTTTTTTATTTTATTGTATGCTCTATGCTTAAAGCAACAGGCCTAAGCTCGTCCTCATTTGCCTCCACTAGTTTACTTCGGCTCTTGACTGTGACGGATCCCTCCCATTCCTCTGAGTGCTCACACAGGTAAAGCTTCATGCAGGTGTAAGGAGGCGCGGATAGTTCAGGTGAAGACGTTTGACGGTTGGTTTTTAACCCCAACCTCAGTTTTTTCTCCAGATTTCTCAGCCTTGTTGGCATGCCGGGAGCGCTTCCCCTTCTTCTTGCTCTTCCCCCCCTTGGATCCTGAAGAAGAGGCAGCATCTGCTCCACCTGTGGCTACACCATCACCATCACCACCATCACCAACACCAGCTCCGTCTTCTTTAATAATATCGCCTTCACTTTCCCTCCTCTCAGCCGTGTTGTACACACGGCGCACCACCTTTCTGGTCACCTGTAGGGCAGAAGCATGTCATGGGGAGGGAAGCAGGAGAGCATTATGTGAGCAGGCATAATGAAAAGGAGGGAGAGGAGGAGTGTGTGTGTGTGTGTATAGTATGATACAGCCTGTATGTTACTGTGTGAAAGAGGCTGTGTGTTTTCTGTTGAACGACTGTATTTCAACCCTTTTTCCCATTTCAAGCAGTTCTAGTTAAACGTTTACGTATCAATTCAAAAGAAAAACGGTCATGTTATGTAACACCAGATAATCCGTGCCACAGTGACGCGTCCTACAACCCGGAAGTAAACTCCTTCCGGTTCTTTCAACAAAAAAGCAATGCAATTTCTCCATAGGATTTTGGAAAATAGCTCGAAATCAGGTCTGTGGTTGACACACATTTAAGAGACGGATCACGTTTTGTTCAGCCGGATAACATCCACATGTCTACCCTACTTTTATAATTTTCGAATCATAAATCTAGTCGCCAGAAGCAAAATGCTAACGTTATGCTATAAACGAACTACAGCAGGGTCGCTGCTTCAACGTCACGCCAACTTAAGATCCATATTCAAACATACAGATTCTAAATGGTACAAGTTGAAGCGTCTGTTTGAACAGTTTGCAGGAGGCAGGTACTTGCTTTCAAGCAGAACAGGGCCAACAAACTTAGCGGGGGTGTTTTACGTGTTCGGTGTAATGGCGTAAAACGGCCTGGACAACTTCTGTAGTCCTATTCAGCCACATGTTAACAACCATCGTTTTTCAGACACGTAAACTCTTCAAAAATCACCAGCAGGGTCACTGCTGATGTATTTAATGTCGTAGAACAAAACGTGATCTGTCTCTTCAATTTGTGTCAAACACAGACCTTATTTCAAGCTATTTTCCAAAATCCTATGGAGAAATTGCATTGCTTTTTGGCGAAGGAACCGGAAGTGGTAAAGTGCTAACTTACTTCCGGGTTTTAGGACGCGTCACTGTGGCACTCTATTAAGAACACATGATAGTGGCCTCTTGTGGCCGAAATGAGTATTACGAAAACAGATGATATGATTTTTTCCTACCCGTTTTTTAGAGACCGTAAATGAAAAACACAAGATACACAGGATGATGTGTGTGTGTGTGTGTGTGTGTGTGTGTGTGTGTGTGTGTGTGTGTGTGTGTGTGTGTGTGTGTGTGTGTGTGTGTGTGTGTGTGTGTGTGTGTGTGTGTGTGTGTGTGTGTGTGTGTGTGTGTGTGTGTGTGTGTGTGTGTGCGTGTATGTGTGTATATGTAAGCTGTTGGGTAAAGAGGTGATGGAGGAGGATGAGGATGGTTACTTTTCTGGTGACCAGATTCCCGTCTTCATCTGTGAACTGCTCCTCCGTCACAGACTCCCCAGGAATGTTTCTGGCTTCCTCTCCCTGGGATGAAGGGATGAAGGGTTAAAGGATGAGTGAAAGGTGGATGGAAGGGTGGAGTACAGGTCGGGAAAAGTTACGAGAGGTCATCTTGTTGACAGTTATTCATCTGGTTATTTAGAATAAAGAGAATATACGTCTGCCTGCCACAGAAGATGGTTTTCAAAGTGCAGTTTCCTTTTAATAAATTCTCAGATAGATAAAAACATGTGCTATAAATAAAAGATTTGACCATGTTAATCTGTGATGCAGCACTTATAACAGAAAAACAAGACTTGTTACAATACTTTAAAGGTGTTTAAATTCAATAAAATGTTGATTTGGCAAAGTAATACTTTGGAACCCAAGGGATGCAGGTGCATGATACAGGCTCAACATGTTAGCAAGGCTCTGAAAACAAGCTTCAAAATGCACACCTGCAATTTAAATGAAGGTTCAATCTAGTTATGGATAACTGTAACTGTTAATCATGACACATCTCAGAGACCAACAGCATTAAGTGGAGAACAAGTGAAAAAAAAACCCTGCCATGATGAGTTCTTCCTTCAAACTCATGTCATGCACAATAAAGGAAACCCATGAATCACTCTGTCTGTCTGAGGCTCCATTCACACAGAGACAGATTGCCTGAGCAGCTAACTTTAGTCAATCGACAACAAAATGAATTGGTTTAAGTTATTATTTAGGATGTTCTCAATTTCAAGCCTCTTTAGTGTCAGTACATACTGGTTTTATTCATCTTATAAACTGAATATCTTTGGGTTTTTGAAGTTTTGTCAGACAAACAAGCCGTCATCAAGCTCACTTCCTGACCTTTTATACACCAATCGATCGTTCCATGACTCTAGAAAATATTCATCAAATCAACTTTGAATGAAAATAATTGTTAGTTGCAACCGAGATAAATGTGTTTTGTACAATAAATGTAAGCATCAAGTTGATACTGTTATTGCTCTTGAATCAAGAGTGGGCAAACATCTGAGAGCTCTTGCTCCAGGGACACACGGGCGTTGCGACCATCAAAGTTGGGTTTTTACATACTTTAAGAGATGTTCTGCTCCTGTGGAAATCTAGCCTCATTATACGCACACATAGTATAACACTCTCTTGATTTGAGCCAAACGCACAGCACAACCAGGAAGAAACACCAAACAGCTGCTGGTGCAGTGGATCGCACCAACAAGCAGTGAGTAGCACTTCATGCTAAAGCAAGGCTAAACAACCACATACACTAACCCCCCCCCACATACACACTGTCCTATGCACATAGACAATGTTTCCATCCAAAAAAAAGCAAATCAATTGGATCTATCATCCATAATTGTTATGTTAATATTAAGTGTTGGTGCAGATCCAGATAATAAGTTGAAGATGGTAATTCTCCTGTCGGGTGCCATAAAGCCAATTCCTGAAGACTCCAAACAACATTATGTAATTGGAATTACGGTGAACTTGATGGAAATGTGGTATTTATTCAGGCATTTAAAAAAAATCCAAGCATAAACAAATTCTGTGTGATATTTAAACTTCTTGAATTTGAACTCTCCAAAAAGCAGTTGGATGGAAACACTCTGTATGTTACACTCTCTGTCACACAAATACAACACCAAGTAAAAAACACACAAATGCTGAGCACACACCAGCACAGCTTCTACGTTTTTGTTCTGTTTCTGCAACTGGCGCCTCGACACACACTTGTTTCTGAAAGCTTTAAGCATGTTCACTCTGCCTGGAGCCGCCACACAGCAGGCCTTACACACCTTGAGTATGACCCGTCTGCGGAACACCCTGGTGGTGACAGTGGTCTCCCCATCGGAGCCGGACTCATCTATAACACTCTGCTGATGAGGGCAGTCCAGGAGCATTGTTACAATAAGGACCAAGTGTGTGTGTGTGTGTGTGTGTGTGTGTGTGTGTATGTTTTTTACTTTATGACTTAAAAGGTAAGTTAAAGCAAAAATTGGAGACATTTGTTTCCAAAAAAAACCCACTACAACTAAATGTAAGGCTATAAGACCTTGAATTATAACAAAATGCTATTTGGTCCACAATGACATGAGGTTTCTTCGGAAAAAAACACATATAGTTCAATAATGACAAATGAGTCCGCTAACCCGTCGGTTTTAAAGAGCGACTCTCACCTGGACTTTGTGCTGGGACCTTTCTCCTCCCTCCTCCCGTCCTCCGCTTGGTCCCGCTGTGCTGCTGTCCTCCTGAGATCCCTTCCTCTTGGCTTCCTTTTCCTTTCCTTCCCTGACGGTGTCGATGTGACCTCCGTTCTGTCGGTTGGCCTTAGCCGGGGGCTGCTCCAAAGAATCAGCCAGACTGTCGGGGCTGTGGGGGTGACATGTGGGGAGGAGATTAAATCAGATGTTACCACCAAACTACTCACAACTTGGTGTTTACTAAACGTTATTATATTCCATGATACCCACACTATATCATGTCATATTTAATTAGTCTTTTTTGTGTTGGGTGGGGTTCCTTATCTGCTTCAAGGGTCTTAAGACAGAGGATGTAATATACTATATATTATATATAGTATTCCATAAATTGTTTCTACACTATACTATGTTATAATATGTTACTACCTTTCAGCATACTATATCTGATGTCAAATCATAATTAAAAAATGTGCGATATAAATAAAACTTGATTTGATTTGATTTGATTTATGACATTATTTATTATATTAAGATATTATGTTTGCATTTGTATCTTTAATCAAACTAGTCACCTGTGCTTGGAATTGCTGTTTCCAAATGCTCTTGAGAAAGTTATATTTTGGGTTTTTATTTTTTATTTTCATTATAATATCCTTATATTGTTGTGTTAATTTATTCTGCGGTATATCGGCCACGACACTCTTGAAGTATTTCTTTTTTCAGTCCAGTGACACATTTTAAGGTTAGACAAAAATACGTTATGTTAAATGTTTAAACTAAATAAAACCAGATCCTACCTGCCCTCCTCGGTGCCGGGGCTGAGGCCGGGGGCTGCTGACTCTGCGGTTGCGCCGGACGTCTCATTTCTCCAGCCTGGAACTGAACACACGTCTTTTTCTGCTTGGTGCAATTGATCGAGAATAGCATTCATCCTCTCCTCTGTCATCTCCTCGTCCTCCAAGCCTCCCTCCAGCTTTATATCGTCCAGCAGACTCTGCAGCCTCTCCGGGGTCATCTCCTCCTCCTCTTCCTCTTCTTCATGCCTTCCATTCCCATGAGGTGTTTCTGAGGCGGCATCCTCTCCCTGACGCTCCAAAACACCTTGTTCCTCTGCCTTCAGTTCTTCCTCTAAGGCCTCAGCGTACCCCTGTGTTCCCTTTCCTGATTGCTCTACTGCCCTTCTGTCATTATCGGGCCTGTCATAATAAACCAGCCCTGTCTTTTCTTCCTTAGAAATCTCTACTTCTCCACTGGTCAACGCTGTATCTTCTGCTCCAACGATGGGGGGCTGAGCGGCACTGGAGGTGGGGCCTGGGGCGACTGTGGGGGGGTCACTGCTGGAAGTACTGGTGGTCTGAGTGAGAGAGAGGTCGCTAGGTCTAGTAAGCGTGATCTTGCTAGGGGAGTCTGCGCTAGCTTCGCCCTCACTAAAGAAGTCGTCTGGGCGAAGAGGGGTGGGGGGCTGGGAGTTCAGTTCTGTGGGGGTTTGCAGTTCCAGGTCTATATTGTCGTATCCTGGGTGGATGGCAGGAGTAAAGGATTAGAGGGTGAAGGGATGCAAGAGGTAGGGAAAGACAAAAACAGGGAGGAAAGGAGGGGAGGGAATGAGGGGGTAGAGCAGTGGAGGTGATGATATGAGAAACACTTGTAACATCTAAGGGTAGCATATGTTCAAAAGTCACACAGGTGTAACCCTAAGAGACTTTAAAGCTGCATTACCTTGTTTTTTTTGGCAACTTGGATCAGAAGCTATAAACAAAACATTGACCTTTTATCACCTTATAAAGCTAGAATTGGGAACTTGCTAGCAAACAGTTATCTGTTTACACATGAAGTAGAAACAGCGTAACATTAGCCCTCATTCTGAATCGTATTTATGCTCCAACCAATAGTTGGGTATCAGTAAGTGTTTAAGGTCCTTACCCACTTGACAGCTTTTTAGCCATTGAATGCTCCACTTTGTTGACCAGTTGGCCGCTAGGTGCTAGCTGTCAGCTTTGGGCAGGCAGTTTACATTAATGCATTCACTCTTTTTCCCCCCCTTCTTTTGATCTGGCCAATCCTTGAGAAAATACCACTAGGTATTCTTTACCTGCTAGTTGCTACCTTTTCCTGACTGGTGCTAGGTTGGACGCAAACAGTGGGTTTGTTAGCGTTTTGACAATAATAGCAGCTGCCTTATGTTGACTGTCTTGGTTTTTTGGCCTGAAGAAACTATAGTCCAACTATTTTCAAAAGAGTTTAAAAAAAGCTTTATGTAAAGGTGAGAGGAACTGTAGTGTAGGGGGATTATTCTCTACTGACGACCACACAGCAAATATCTTGTGAACATAGTGGAGCATTAAGCAGCTAATGAGCCAGATAGTACCCCCAGTAGGTGGTGGAGACCAAAGACAGAGTGAATACAAGCTAACTGACCATTAATACTAATCGAAATGAATGGGAATGTCCCCCCATATTTGATTAATATGTAATAAACAACTGTTTTGCTTTGTTAAGAACTTGTTCTGATGCCTCCTAGTGGTCACAAAAGTAGAAGAATAAATGCTGCTTTAAGGTTTTTCTTCATTCAACACATGGAGACTCCTGTGTGACTTCAAACTTTACAGAGTAGACACATGATCAGATCACAAGATGAAAACAGAGAAACCAAAGTACCAAAGACAGAATATAAAAAAAATAAGATTGAAACTTTATCTGTATCTCATTTATATATTTGAACATGAACATTCAGTCTGTTTTATGACTGTTTCACACTGTTTTGTTTTCAAACTGGAGCTTAATTCAGCCACACTTTTTGTTAAAGCACTTAACCCTAAAGAAGCCTGACTTCAGCTCAGCATCTCAAACATTGTGTTAATGTTAGAGTATTAGACAAAGCTTGAAGTAGAATTCAGGTAGGGTAGTTGTGTTGATTTCAACAAAAGGCAGAGAGGAGCAAAGCAACACACAGGCCTCTAAATGTAAACTTCAGGGACAGAGCGATCCTTCCTGAAGTAAGAAGGGATGCCAGGAGGGAGGGGAGAGGGAGGAGGGGAGGGAGGAAGCAAAGGGGGAGAAGGTGAGTGATGATTTAGGGGAGGAGAAGGGGGACAATGATGTGGGGCAGAAGGAAGGGGAGGAGAGGGTGAAGGTGAAGAAAATAGTAAGGGGGGAGAGGTGGTAGGAAGTGGAGGAGGAGTGGAGGCACATATGAAAGATGGAAAGTAGGGAGGAGAATGAGAAGATGTGGAAGAAGGGGAAGAAGAGGGAAGAGGGGGGGGCAATTGAACAGTTGGAGGAGATGGAAAAAGGGGAAGAGACTCAAGAGGGAGAGGAGAAATGGAGGAAGAGGTAAGAGGTGAGGACAGACTGGGGGTTAAGGCAGGGAAGCGACTAGAAATGGACGGAGGAAGAGAGAAAAATGAGGAGCAGCTAAAAGGGCTTTCAGGGGAGGAGGGGGGAGGGTGGGGGTAAGAAGGAGCAAAGAAGTGAGGGAGAACAGGAGCGACAGGCAGGACGCAAATGGGAGGTAAACAAGAGGGAGACGGGAAGTGAAAGACAATGGAGGAAGTAGGGTCAGCAGGAGGAAGGGGGAGAGAGAAAGGAGCGATATGGCTGGGATGAGAGGGATGAAAGGAAGAGAAGATGGAGGTAGAGGAGGGAGGAAGAAGAGCTACAGGCTGAAGGGTTTGACAACACAAGGGAAACGTGGGAGACCTTAGAAGTTTCAGAGCTATTACAAATATTCCAACCACAAGAAACAAAACGAAACAGAAAACAACTGTTAGACAAGACTTGGATGGAAAGACAAACAGCGTATAAACAGATAAATGCACAGACAGTGAAGTGAGCGATGAAGTCTTAGTGTTTGAGAAGCTGCAGAAGCAAACGCATTGCACACTACTGTCATGGGATTGCTTATCTGTCGGTAGATAAGCGGGAATAAGCTCCTAAGTGAATAGCGATAGCATCTTCCGGAACAGTGGAGAGAGAAATAAGGGGGAAAATATATTTTCTGGCTTTGTCTTGCATCAGGACAGGCTTTGGGATGTAGGTAACGTTTGTTGAGCTGAAGATTCATTTTCTTAGAGGAACTAAGAAGTAGGACAGGAGCTGGGAATGCTGAAAGGCTGGGTTGTATTGGCAGGATTTGTAACATAATGAGATTCATAGACCAAATTTCCCCGGAGTAAACCCACACTCTCTAAAGACATATTTGGCTAGCCTTCAAACAGCTGTGGTGTCCTAATTCCATAAATAATCCTAGTAAGTATTATATATCATGTATTTTGTACTAACAGGAAGTTATGTATACACATTACAATATGTCACTTAATACATATCAAATGCCACTACCAATTAATTATTAAAAACGTTTTGAAGTGTTTTTCTAGCTGTCTCAACTAAATTAAATCAAATCTTTTTGTATGTGCTCCTATATTTCCTTTGCAAATGTTTCATCTTCTGTGCAGCACCAAGTATTTGTGCATGCTTTTGTAAGTACAATATTGTAGATTAAACACAAACTCACAGACTGATTGTTTTGAGTTGACTAATCTAGATAAATAGCCTGAATGTAATGGTCACACTACAGACTGAAAATCGACTCATACAAAAACACTAACATTCCCAGAACAAATATTAAAATGACCTTGTTGTCCTCAAGATTAAAGTTATTTTGAAAGGGCAATATGGGCGGGGATATGATAATGCAAAAGCCTGCTTGATGTGGATGTCATCCATTCAGAAGCTACACTGGGATCCAGAAGCTGCTGAAGTTAGCATAGGTAGCCAGCGGTGGGAATTAGCCGGTTAGTGGTGTTTAGCGCTGAGGAGGGAGGTTGCAGAAGGAGTTAGTCACTCAGAAGCAGAAGAGGAGGAGAGCGGAGGAGGAGGAGGAGGAGTGGCGGGGAGTCTGCTGGTCTCAAAGCAGGAGAAGCTACAGAGGAGTGTAGAGGCTGGAAGGCTCTGAGGAACCCAGGAGATGATAGGTACAGTGCAGCTCACAGCAGTAACACAGAAGCATCAATATACACTGTACACTTCGAAAAAAGGCGTTTCATTTTCAACTCATCTGTGAGCGTCACCTAGGACAGAGCGCATTCATACATCAACGTGAGCAAGCACTCGTGCATCATGTGTTGAAAAGGCTGCATCCATTTGAAGAGTGCCAATATCATTAGAGCAGGCAGCCTCACACAGAGCCAAAGCCATGCATTTTGTGGGTTTTATCTATTAAATGTTGGATTCATTTTAAATCATCTTTGCAAAAAGATCCACTGCTTTCATAATAAAGCAAAAGTAACGCTGACCTTTGTGTTAAGATGACTTTCAGAAACATAAGTAGACAGAATGGCAATGAGACCCATTTCAGAAGTATGACTCAAAAGGTGCCTGGATAAAACTGTAGTTAAATCTACAGACTGCTGAAAAGTGTTGATCCGATTTGTTTCATTGACAAGCAAAGGAACAACCTTGGAGAATTGTGTGGTTGTTTGCTGATCGAAAAAATGTCAAGTACATAATTGATGCAACGGTGGATGAAGTACTCAAAAATAGAATAAGTTAGTCCTCATGCAGCAGGGTGGTTCCAGTCATTATCATATATATTATATGATGTAGTTATTATCAGCAATGCATTACCATTTAAAGAGCATTTTACTGTTGCAGTTTGACAAGCTATTTTTATGGTATATGCCATTTTTGTAGTTTAAATATGAATCTGTTAAGTAATTGGTAACTTTAGCTAACAGACAAATGTAGAGTGGTAAAAAGTAAAATATTTCCCTTTGAAATGTAGCTGAGTAAAATTATGAAGTAGCAGAAAAGGGAAATACTCAAGTAAATGGTACCTCAAAGTATACTGTAGTACTTGAGTACATTTGTTCTAAAGAAATGCAAATGTGCAAATATCTGAACAAAATATCAATGGTCAGATTGCATTGTGGGTAATGTAAGCACCAGTAATTGACTAGAAATAAGAACGCTGGGGTAAAAATACACAATATCAATCAACTATCTGTAACAAAAGGCACATTGTCATCACATTTCTGAAATGCCCCTCATTGGCTCTGTCAGATGAGCAGATACTGGTAGCTGCCACATTTAGTTTTCATTTAAGAGGATAGAGAGAAAGTTAGAAAGAGGGAAAGCCTTGCCATGCTGCTTAAAGCAAGCATGCTGTTATTAAAAATAGCTTGTAGTATTAATGTCTTCTATGTATTTTCTAATAGCATATGACAGAAATTGAAATCATGAACCAAGGCCGTCAACATTCTGACAAATGAGTTTCAACATAATTATCAACACATTCATCAGATGGGAACGAGACAGCGGTTCATTAGCTGCTTACATTTGCTTCATGATCATGCTTTTTAACCGTTTACAACATACATACTAAAAAGTCTCATGTACCCAAAATGGTACAGACTTTTAGCAATAATCACCCAAAAATCTATCACTTGCCATTAACGTTCCAATGACTGAGTGCTTAAGTTAAATGCACTGCCCAGTGTTGGAAAACTAACAAGCTGAGTGGGGTGACTAATCAATAAGGACAACTCTAATGCTATTACTACCTGATGGTCCATTTACTGATTTGCTCAATGGACCTGCTGGAGCATTAAGTATTTTCGGTTCAAGTTTGATTAACTTCCATTGTTTGGTCAGGCCTGATTGGTTGTAGTATTATTTTTAAGTTGGACTATCTATCTGAGAGAGGAGGTGAAGAAGGGTGAAGGGATAGACTGAGAGATAGACTGATAGTTCAGCTAGGGTGGGCTACACTTTACCATCGGACTGATCCGGGAATACTGCGTTATCATCGGCAAAGCAGCGTGTGCCTGAAATGTTACCGTAGTCAAATATGGGCCCTTCCAGCAAAGTCACAATATCCAACCGATTGATCTTAGTCAGCACCGCAGTTAAAGCATCCGCTAGGGAGGAGAGAGACGGAGAAATAGCATTCACAGTCATGTTGTGATACTATAAAAAAGTAATATTGTCAGCTATATTGATTAATTGTTTTCATAAAGTAGCAACCAATATGTATTCTCATTTACGAGAAAAACTAGATATAACCTTGAATGGCAATAGCATTTTTCTGTGTCACACGAACAATCACTGCTTACTTGTGGCGTTTTTACCGTCCCTGTACACCCATTTCTTAAGGAGCATGAAGCTCTGTGCTGTCAGGGAGTTGGGGTTCTCCACTCTGATAAAGTTGATCTCATCCACAGAGAAATCCATCTCCCTGGCCAGCTCTGTAACAACACAAACACCAGAAATAAACATTTTTTTACGAGAAAGTCAAACCATGCAAATGCCATAATTTGTTGATCAATGGGTCGACATTACATGAATCTAATTTCCAATTCCTGCTCCTCGGATAGCCTTATTTCCGGAAAGGATATCAGTTTTTCACACATGCCACACCCTTTTACCAAGTTTGGCCAGTGGGTTTCAATAATTCTGCTGACTAACAAACTGACCAACCAAGCCAAGGTTATAAAAATGTCTGCACTGTCAATAAGGCACTGTGATTTAGTCACTATCTGACAGAATCACAAATCGACTTTGCAAAAGGGAGTGACAGTACAAAAATGCCTCCACACATGCAGATACCTTAGAAAACAGAGAGTTATCTGATGACAAGCTGCGGACTGAAACATCACGTGTGAGGTAAACAAGTTGCTGCCAAAGGGATTTACACAGGGTTACGTGTGTAGCAATGCAGAAAGACAGAAATGATATATGGCAAGAAAATATATATGGAGAGCAAGGCTTTCTAAATTATATTTCAGATATGCAGCAATTATAATTCCCCTTTCAACTGATCTGTTTTCATGTAACACATAAACGTGATTGCTTATGAAACATAGGGGCTGGACATATTTTTATCGGATGAAAAAATATCAATACTTGTGTGGATACGTAAATATATTTGTATTGCCAAACACTGTGCCAAAACCTAATGAAGGCTTCTCGTACAGACAAGCATAAGGGCTATAAATATTAAACTGCGAGAATATTATGTTCAGCAGATCGTTCACTGCTGCTCTGCAACAGGAACACACATTACATATGGATTAGGTTCCACTCACTCAGTCACTGCATCGGACAGACAGTCACACAACTATTCCCACTCATACGCAGTACAGACGACGCCCATGTACACACGACTGCTGCACACACACGGTGACGCCCACTCATCCACACACATGCAGGCAGGCGTGGGGCAGTGCTGCAGTGCAGGTGGTCAAGCTGGGACTAAACTGCAGCGGCCACACCCTATATAGCTGCTCATAAACAAAATCATCCTACTATGGCTCTTACAGATTTCAACACAAAGATACATGACATGGAAGGACATAAATTCATTGCTATAATATATTTTCCCTTGTAAAATGTGAAACGTAATAAAAATGAAAATGTATTAACTCACTTATTTGCTTGTGTGATGATGCTTAGTTTTCAAAATTCAGTCGAATTCAAACTGAGTTTTGACTATTTTCACTACTTTCATGCTCTAACGTGTTCTGACGATGATGTTTTTGACTCTAAATGCCACTGCAGTACTGCTCAGTTAAAACAGTTGTGAACTATATGTCCACCAGATGGCAACACACACTATAAAACTGTTAGTGTGAGAGCTGTGCACAGTCCAGCTCATTCATTTTTTACATACATGGGTGTTCTTCAAAATTCACATGCTGGATATGCAAGACGGGTATCAATATCTAATCAGTGCATGTGCAGGATGAATATTTCAGTTGTTCAATGTTGTATCAATTAACTTAATACACATGGTATTCTATTCTTGCTTTAGAATAGAATAGAACTGGAGGGATGAAACCCTCTTTAATGGTCACACATGCAGAGCACACAGCACACACAGTGACATTTGTTCTCTGCTTTTAACCCATCCTAGTACCAGGAGTCTAGTACTAGGAGCAGTGGGCAGCTATTGTACAGCGCCCGGGGAGCAATGGGAGTGGGGGGGGAAAGGGGGATGTCCGGTGCCTTGCTCAAGGGCACCCTACAGCCCCCAGTCCAAGCCCCTACTGACTGAGCCACTGCCGGACTTAGTTCTGAGGTTGTTGAACATGAGGTGTGAAGAAGTGAGATGTGTGTAGACTCACCAGTCCAGCTGAGTCCGAGGTGGTCGGCTACTATTGCCATGCGAAGGTCTGTTCTCTCACAGGGACTCTGAGGGCCTGTGCAAGGAAGCATTGAAGGGCAGGACACAACAATTAACATGTTATATGATGTCGATAATCCCCCCAAAAACGAAATGTTGTTCTCAGTATGAGACACAAAAAAGTACTACTCTAAAATGGCTACATAGAGGATCAATGATGAAAGAAAAAAGATTGGGATTGTGAACTGAAAGTTTGTCTGTTTCAAACTGAAGACATTAATGTTGTTTAACTATAAGCACCCCTAAATACCTAGTTAATGAGTTTTTGTGTTTTTATGTGATATTCATATTAAACCCTTGTGTTGTTCACTGAACAAAAATAAAGACTAGCTTTAGCTCACCGTCCCAGGTTTCACCTCTAAGAGAGAAAAACAACGTTTTTCTGGCCAGACTCCTCAATGTTTCAATTTGGATAATGGAGGCTAGGTGAAATAAAAAGCTTTTGGACATTTTGGGAAGCACAATTCATTTTCTTACTGAAAATTATATGAGAAGATCGATACCACTCACTCTGATTTCAATATAAACTGGATCCAGAAAACTGTTAGCTTAGCTTAGCATGAAGACTTAAAAGTGGGGGTAACAGCTAGCTAGCATTGCTCTGTACAAAGGAAGAAAGAACTCTATCTACCAGTACATCTAAAGCTCATTAGTTAACACATGATATTGAATGTGTTTAATCAATACAAAAACAAAATAGTAAAAAAAAAAGCTGTGGTTTTTCATGGGGTTTGGTGTAGGATGGACTCTTTATAGGGCTATTTGTTTTACTTATTTTTCTTTGAATTACTACCTCACAAAATATTGAATATTGTATTGTAACAGTGGATTACCATACCATACTAACCAGAGTAGCTATCATACCAACCAGGATACATAAGTCAATATATATGAAATATCAAACAAACTTCTTTTTGACTAGCTCTAGTAAAGAACATCACTGAGGCAATTAAGACAATAAGAGATAAGTTTAAAAGCATGAAGATCGGTGAGGCCAGAAAAGAAAAAAAAGTATTACATTTTCCCACTAAGATGTTTGACAACAAGTAGTATTAGTATGAGTAGTAAAGGTTTAAAGAGTTTTGAAACACATCACTGACAACAAACGATCTACCATCAGGCAACATTCCCTCACACTGATAAAAACAGTTCATGGCTTCAACTTGAAATCAAAAATAATCTAGCTGCACCAACTTTTTCTACCGACTGACTACACTGTTGTGCAGCCGACAACTATTTGATTGGCAAGTTCAGCCGATGAATTGGTTTCACAGTGTTTTTAGAGAGCAAAAGTATCACAAAATGATTTCTACAAACCAGGCAAGCAGACCAAAACAAACACAAGGTCATATTTTCCCAGAAAATCTTTTTACATCTAGGGACCTAATTAATGTTGAGGGTGAAAGTGAGCGGTGTGGTGTCATCATGTGGTGAGGTGCGAGGCTAACTTGATCTGTTGAGTGATATGAAAGTGAGAATGTGTGTGGCAGCCTATAGGACCCCACAGTAACAGAAAGGAGCAGAAATTACTCTTAACTTAGCCCCTCAAGTGTACTTTCTTGCAAACCAATACTGACAACTAAAACGAGTTGGCTGATTTTGGAATTGTAGTTCTTGTGCATCGAAGACTTCCCTATAGTCTGATGTAAAGCTCCCACACCATGAGGTAATAAATCCAGCATCCTATTACGTATTCAGACAGCCCTAACCCTAACCGCTTTAAATCATCATCAGTCAGGGAACCAGGGACAAATATTGAGTGTTGCTGATTCTGTCATCGAATCATAGCCTTTACCTCTTTGTCTAAATCAGACAGCACAGGACACAGATAACAAGAACGACAGGAAGAAGAAGTGACAGCTACACTTACAACGTCACATCACAGGGCACCCACAACAGCTACATGCATCTCAGAGATAAAGATAGAAGTATAACAAGTGTTTAGAAAGAGTTTACAAACTAGTCTGGTTATCTGTGACAGGAGCCGTGATTGGTTGATCAACCTGATTCCCTTCCTCCTTCTGCTCTTGCTCCTTCCCAAGTGTCCGCCTACTCTTCCTCTTGCTCCTCCTCATCCTCCTCTCACTGCTGGCCTGCTCAACCTCAGCTCTCACATCTCTAGCAGATGTTGTTGATGTGGTGGTGCTGGTGGAGGTGGAGGTAGAGGTGCGTGAAGGGCGGGAACTTCTAGAAGCTCTAGATGGTTCTGACAAGGAAGTGTTCCTGGTAGTGCTGTGGCTGCAGCTCTCTTCGTCCTCAGTGGGCAGTGTTTTCCCTTCTAACTTTCTTTCAGCCTCCTTGGCAATTGTTTGGTCCAAATGTTTTCTTGCCTGGCTATTAACCAACCTTGTTTTAACGTTTTTTGAGAACACTGCACTGTTTTTTCTCCTTGTCTCATTTGTGCTACCTATACCAGCGGTTTTTACTGAACTGCATCTGTGTTCAGTACTCAATCTGCCTGTACTTGGTTGTTTATTACTCCTGTCTGTTTTAGGACTTCTATTACTAACCACAGATTGAGTTTGAACCTGCTTTTTCTCCTGGGAAACAGAGGAGTTTTTCATGGATTTCATTACTGGAATTCTTGATTTAGGAATTACATTCTTAAAAGGATCTAGTCTTTCCCTGAAATTATGAATTGAATGTTTTCTTACATGATCTTTTACTACTTGTTGACTTTGACTGCATATTTTGTGGCTAGGCGCCCATAATGGTAATCTGGATTTGCATATCTTGCCTTTGACCTCTTTGTCTCCTGTGTTTGTTATTGCTATATTGGTATAATCCCTGCCCTCCTTGCTGTTTTCTAGCTGGCTGAAAGACGCTTCTATCCTGCTGACCTCCTGCAGAGTTGACCCTGAAGCAGACAACAAGTTAAACGCAATACTGCCGCCCACCTGAATGATGTCTGAATGGACACAATGGGAGTCAGGGATGTTTCTACTGGCATTGTTGCTCCATGTTTGGGGATTGCTAATCTGTTGTGAGGGTGCAGAAGACGAATCTGCGCTTTGGTAATAAGTGTGATTTTTCCAATCCAAATGGTTGGAAGTACCTGAAGGAATTCTTTGATTAGTATAATAATCTGTGATGCCTGATGGTCTATTATTCAAATAGTTATCTGTCACGCCTGATGTATCAAAAGTAGGATAATCTGTATAGTTTGAGGTTACAGAATAATAACTATCTACAGTTGTCCCTGAGGTTGTGTCATTAGAGTGATCAAAGATGTTTGGTATTCTACAATTAGAACTGCTATTTGAAGCATTAGACGCTGTATCAGCTGACACCTTGAATCCTGTTCTAAAGGTGGAGAATGTTGGCTCCATATTGGAAGTTGAGTCTCTGCATGTGGTGTAACTGGCAGTCGGATTTGATATTTCTAGCTGGACAGTAGTAGTCTGAATGGATATTTGAGGGATTGGTAAAATATTTGTGGGATCCTGAATATTAAAGTCCCCATGTTGCAAGGAGGAATCAACCTCTGAATCCCTAACCCTGTACCTGCCCGCCGAGTAGTAATGCTCACCAATCTGAAAAAACTGGAGCCTCTCCTCCACCATGTCCCTCTTGCTCATGTCAATCGCACCACTGCGTGTCATCTCGAACATTTTCCCTTCATGGAAGGGGAATGGGTTTGGCTCGCTCGTCGGCGTACTATCGTCTGTTGGTGTTCGGGCTGGGGTAGTGTCTGGTGTTGTAGCCTGAGACTGGTCATCCACTGCCAGTCCAAAAGGCTTAGGCTCACCATTGCTTCCCTGTGTCCCTCCCATGTCAACAACTTCTTCGTCTCCACCTTTACTTGGCCAGGGGTCAAAGTCCAGCCCCTTTGTGGCAACAGTCTTAAAAGGAGAGTGAAACTCTTCTTCTAACTTATAACTGAAGTAAGTGTCTGAAAAGCCCTCCTTGTCTGACTTATTTTGTTCCTGACCGTTCACCCCATCCTTACTAACACCATCAGGTGACCCACCATTAGGGGGGGAATCATTTTTGAATGTGTCCTTTTGACATTCCTCTGGGGTTTTCTCCTCTTCAATAACTTCCAGTTTGGTTGGAGGGAAAGAGCGGTCTGTGGACCTAAATGTGTCTGTTGCCCAGACGTCTCTCCGACTGTCTGGAAGGCCAAACAGACGTAAATCTGCCTGCTCACACAGTCCATCATCCTCATCTTGAAGTTCATATCCATCTAGGGAATCTATCTCTGTCGCATCTGTGTCATGAGAAAATTCTGCAGTTGTGGCTATAGAACAGTCTGTGATTGACTGGTCATTTCCATTTTGTTCATAGTCATATTCCTCTCCTTTGCCATTAGAGCCTTTACAACCATTGGAGCCATTTGTCCCATCATTAGGTTCCTTGTTGTTTCCGTTTTTGTCATTTGTTTGGGATATTGAGGCCTTTTCTTTCTCCTTCCTCTTCTCCTCATCCTCAGCACCTTTGAAACTAAGTTTCTTACAAGGAATTGGTTGAAAGATTGACCCATCATCATCTTCCTCTTTATCATTTGATTGACTGTCACAGGACACAGGCGAAGGAGGTTGGATACGTATTATTGGCTCTGTTAGCAAATGCTTGTCATGTTCTTCCTGTAAGTTCACCTCCATCATTTCTGTCTCAGTATCTGAAGAGGCACATGAACCCTTCCTTTCTCCGTCTGACTTTTCTGAAGAAGAGTCCAGAGGAGGAGGGGGAGGGAACTCAATATAAGCAATACCTTTATCTTTTGAGACCTCTTGATGCTCATGCTCTGTCATTCGATCATACTTGCCATTGGCTTCTGTTTCTTGCTGGTTGGAATTATCAACTAATTCCTGCTGGTTATCATTATCTTTTGATTCTTGCTCATTAGCATTTGCAAGGTCTGCTTGGGTGCTGTGAGCACTAGTTTTGCTTTCTTGTAGGGCCTCTTTAAAAGAGAAAACAACTTTGCTTTGGTTATCTTCCTCTGATTCTTCAGATACCTCCATGATAGGACTGGGTTGTCCTAGCATGAATCCCATAAAGCCATCAGGGCTC